CGTACCCCTCGTGTGCCTTGGTCTGAAATCTCTCCTCCCTCGTTGGGATGCCCCTCGGGAGTTCTCACGGGCCCTGCCACGAGGGGCACACAGATGCACGTGGGCTGCGAGCTGGTGGTGGGGCTGACGCCCCTGGCGAGTGACTCTGATGTGGCTTGGGCAGGTCCTTTGTCTCCTTCAGGCCTTTGACCATCAGTGAAAAGGAAGGGTGATAATAAGTGATTTTCAAGTTCTCTTCATACCATCCAATTGTAAGTTTAGTGGAGTGCCGTCCGTTTGCTGTGCTCTGCTGTGTCCGGACGACACACGGGGCTGTGCTGAGGACTGGAGGGAGCACGTGAGCACGGAGCTGAGTGCCCCCAAGGCAGCGCATGGTCCATTCAGCAGAGGGCACAGAAGGGCCAGGAACACTGGGTGGTCCATCCTAAACAGGGTGCACCCGGGGGCTAGAGACCACTTCTAACCAGCCTCCTCGGGGAGGCCAGGGATGACTTTCCTAGGGTGCTGACATCTAAATTGAGAACCAGATGTGACCAGGCAGAGAGGCAGAGCACAGTGCAGCAAAGACTCAGGGCAGGGACAGTCCTCTCACTGCAGGACCTGGAACTGTAACACTAATGTCACAAGAAGGAATGCATGTTAAGTGCAAAATCTGGAAGCCGAATCATAGGCTGGTCACACTTGAAGGATGACAGATCCATACCTGTGTGTGTGTGTGTGCATGTGTGACCCACGTGCAGGAGTGAGGAGGGACACCGTGCAGCATCAGGCAAGCAGGCCACCCAGGGAGTCTGGTCCTGAGTGCCGCCCCCCCCCATCCCGAGCAGGAATACAGCATGAGGATGTTGGGATGCTGGGTCCCAGAGCTAGACACGGGCCCAGTGCGTGCCAGGAGGGGGTGGCACCAGTTCAGTGGCAAATGCAGAAGGTTCCAGTGAAATCTCCATGTGCAGCATCAGTGGGCGGTGGTGAGAGGGTGTGACCCTGTGGCTTAAAGGTGGGAGGAGGTCAGCTGTTCCTTTTAGGACAATTAAAGACCAAGCTCAGAAGTAGGCACTGCAGCATGTTCACGTAACTACCCCATTTCCATTTCGCTTGCTCACCTGTTTGTTTGCTTTTAGGGCCCTTCTGGACCGCCAGGAGAGAAAGGGCCTCCGGTACAGTATGATTTAAATACGGGGCTGGGTTTTGAGGGCGGAAATTATGTTCTAATGAAAGCGGTTTTAAATTGGAGTGTCCAGAAGGCAGACGAGTTTCAAAAAAATCCCTAACATGAAACTGGGCAAAGTCTCCAAAATGTGAGCCCTGACCTATGGGCTGGCGGAGTCTCCCAGGGCCGGGAGCGTGCGCGGTGCTGGGCGGGCGGAGGCTGCCTTTGCTCCCCGCCGTCTCTGCTTCCAGACGGGCAGTCGTGGTTTAAGGAGCGTAATCAACCTGCCCGAGGAGCTAGCTGTGCATCGTGGCTTCCCCACCCCAGCCGCGCAGCCACGAGCAGGGGAGGGCTCCCTTAGCCTGGAAGGCGGGGGAAGAGGCGGGGAAGTGCCCCAGGAAGTCAGATCCTTCATGAGATGATTTGTGCCAATTTCTGGTACTGTCTGGAAATTTTCAGCAGAATGAGAATGATTTTCCTATAAAAAATAATCACCGTCAGCTGCGTGCTGAGCTCTGTGCTGGGCCGGCCCCCCAGCCCCCGGGGCCGGTTATCCACACGGCGCAGGGGGGTGGGCAGGACCAGAGCTCAGGCCCGTTTCGCTGCAGGAGCTGCCTCTCCACTCCAGAAAGCTGCCTGGGCAGTCCGGCTCACAGGGAGGGCTTTCCAGAGCGTCCCCAGGTGCACTTGGCGTGTCCACCTGCATATGCGCAGTAAAGTGTGTGACTCTGACCCGCCTGCTCCCTGGCACACCCATTACATCAGCTTCCCCAGAGCAGCAGGCCGTCTGTGCAAGGAGAGCCCCCCCAGGGAAGGCGGCACTTGTTTTGCTTAAACTGATGGGGGGGGGTGTCATCTTCTCTTTTTCTTCAGGGATCTCGAGGCCCCCCTGGATTCCCAGGCCCCCAGGGACCAGCCGGCCAGGATGTGAGTAAAGGCGGCAGTGCAGGCCAGTCCAGGTCCTCCAGACCCCCCGGGAGCCCCCTCCGCTGTCTCCGGCCTCCTGGAACCAGGACACCCCGGGAGGAGCTGTCCTGCCCCACTAACCCCTGCCCCTTTCCCGTGTTTTCTTCTTCTGTTCGTTGTGACTCACAATCTTGTATTGCCTAGTTTCACTTCTCTTGCTTTTGTGTTATGCTTTCAGAAACCTGTAAGCTCCTGGGTACCCCATCACTGTCTCCTGTCATTTTGTCAGTGTTCTTACATACCTAGCTGGTCAGTTCTGCTCAAATCAGGCACGAGCTTCTCCATGGACTTGTTCCCAACCTGTCCCTGTAAGGGCTTCTCCCTTCAAGGGAGCTCTGCACACTCACCTGATGCTCACTGAGGACGTATGCCTCCCCACTTATGTGACAGTGTTAATCACCTCTCATCTTTATGGCCTGACTTTTGTTCAGTTAGATCTGAGCTCTAGAAGGTAGGAACCATGTGTCTCAGGTTTCCTTGATGCTTCACAGAGTGGCAGGTACACAGAAGTTGCTCCATACAGACTCCCTGAAACGGTTTAATGACGACCACGAGTCCTCATGGAGCAAAGACGTCTGGCGCCGCTATGCAGTGGTACTTGCTGCGTCCCTCCATCTTTCCATCTCTGTAGTTCGGCTTCACATAAGTAGGAACAATAAACTGTCCTCCCCTTCCCTTCCTTAGGTTCTGTTTCAGAGAAGAAAGTTGCCCTCTAAATCCCGCCTCCAAATGCTTGACTTTACCTGCCCCACTCGCAGGGTTACATTCTTACAGCCAGTTCAGCAGAAACCTCCTCTTTTTCAAAGCCACTCCTTCCACTTGTGTTTGGGAAAGGATGGAGACATTTGAGATAAATGTGTGTCCGTGCATGAGTTGTTTTGGGTTTTGTGTTTCGGATAGGAGCTAATAAGGGGAGTAGCTTACTGTTTGGAACATTTGCCACAGTTAAATATTTCCTGAGAAGCTTTGGGTATTCAGCTGAGACTGGAAACCGTGAATTGTTACTGGTGCCAGTCTCCACGGTTGGGTTATTTTTTCCCCTGAGTTACAGATACAGATGCTGGGAGAGGGGGTGGACAGAGCGGATCAGCATTATGTGCTTCGCACAGTTAATGTTTTCTTTCTTTCTTTTCTTAGGGTATACCAGGAAATCCAGGAGAGAGAGGGCCTCCTGGCAAACCAGTATGTCATCTAACTGTTCTGAATGAATATTGACCATCAGTCAGGGACCCAGCCAGAGTAAAATACAACTCGGATGGTCCCAGAGACTTTGAAAAGGGGGCTTTTTACAAAGCTGCGGGCAGAGGGAACTATTCAGAGATGCTGTGATGCTCAGAGATAAACCACAGAGATGCCAGTGCCACCTGCTGCTTATCTTCAGAGCAGAGAGAGAGGGTGGGGGGAAGGGGCTGCCAGATAGGAGCTGTGGTTGTGGGTTCAGAGCCATCGCAGGACGCCTGGCCACCGCCCACCCCCCGTACCCCCTCCCCAATCTCTTGCTGTGTGTCTCATTGGTCCAGCTCGCCTGTGGAGCAGGCAGCAGGCAGGCGAGCCTCGTGATACGTCCCCAGGGTGCAGCCTCCGGGGCCTGGGGGAGGACAGAGAAGGAAGGACGGTGTTTTGGGGTGAGCAGACGGGCAGTAGCAGTGTTCATGGCAAGGTCCCGACCAGCCCTTGCCCTGCCCTTTAGTTCAGTAATGTCCGTACCTCTTGGTTTCCCCTCTTTGTAGTAAAAGAGACATTCTCTCCTCTCTCCCTGTGAGAGCAGCGATGCTGCAACAGGCTGAGCAGAAACGGACAGCCCTGAGTGTCTGGTCCCGGGCCGTGGGGCCGCGCTCCAGCCCGCAGTTCCTCGTGCGCGGTAGAGTCACCTTCTAGGAACACCCACCCCACCCCAATTAACTCAGCAACACCAGAGAAGCCCCAAAGGCTCCGCCGAGGAACCAGGCACAGGGCGGCCCTCCCGGGGAGGGATGATGAAGAGGGACAGGTCTGGGTGAGCGAGGAGGCAGCGTGAGGATACAGGAGAAACGAGTCCACTGAAAGGTGCTACCCGAGGTGGGAGAGACGGTGGCAGTCACGACTCGGGAGGCTCAGGCCTCAAGGCTGCTTTCAGAAACCATTATGCAGAATCTTCACTGCAAGATGGATCTGAAAGGCCATCCGGCTCCTCTGTGAGCCTGGCTGCTGCAAGTTTCAGACAAGGACCCAAGGCACGGGCCCCAAGGCTTGAGCCTCTCTGCCTTCGGGGCCCAGGCTACGGGGCACATCAGAGACCCCGAGGGGTGGCCTGGTCCTCCTCGAAGGGTCCTGAGACCGTTCCCTGAAGGCCTTCTAGCGGGAGGAGTGAAAAGTCCTGCTGGAGGGTAGGGACAGCTTACTCACACCCTCCTCCTCTTCTGTGGAGTCAGATTTACAGCAGCCAAATTAACCTCACAGAATCCACCTCGTTACCCAAGTGCAAGGCCCTGGTGCAGCGGCTGGAAGAGGAAGGTTCAGACCAGAGGCTGAAGAGGGTTCAGACGACTCCTGCCAAGTCTAGACCCTGACACCCCTGCCAAGAGAATTAAGCCAGCAGCGTCCAGCTGGCAGTGTGGACTAACCGTGACGTCTGACAGCTGGTCACCGGCAGAGCAGACTGAGAGAAGTAGAGACAGACAGAGAGGAGGTCTGTTTTTGACCACCTTCAAATTCACTGCACACACAAACCCCCCGGATGGTCCCAGGGACGGCAGGGGAGCCCTCAGGGTCTCTATCTCACTAATCGGATGAGTCATGTTTTCAGGGGTCCCAAGACTCCCCTCAGGCTCTCTGACTCACCAGGAGGACTCCAGGACTCAGGAGAGCGCCTCCACTCGGGACTGTGGTTTCTCACAGAGAAAGGATGCAGGTGAAGGTCAGCACAGGGGCGAGATGCTTAGGGCAGCGTCCCTGAGCGACGAGGCCCCTCCCCCAGGGAGCCGGCGCGGGCAGCCCTCGCTCCTCCTGGCGCTCACATGTCAGCAGAGGCACGTGGGTGACAAGTGCTCTGGAAAGCACCAAGTGTCGCCACTGAGGGTCGCTCCCCCAAACCTTGGTGTGCAGGTCACGTAGACGTGGCGAGCCTGCACGGCTGGCCTTGGTCTCCGTCTCCAGCCCTCCCAGGGGCCAGACTGATACCCCATGGCCCAGGCCCCCGCCATAGGTTTGGTCGTTAGCATAAGCCACCTGCCCGGCCCAAGACCCTGGCGAACAGAGGCACTCTTCTCAGGCAGGGCGTTCGTTAGGAGCCAGCAAGGGCCGAGCCTTTGTTTGGCACGGGCAGGGTTTGGGCAGCCCAGGCCTTCTGAGTTACCCCTTCCTGCAGCCATCACCCCTCGGTGGAGATGGGGGCCCAGAGTGTCTCTCCAGCCTTGCGCCCAGGGAATTCCCGCGCCAGGAGCCCCCTTGCTGGGCTTGGTTCTCCAGAAGCAGAGCCTCTGGTGGGGATTCCCGTGCCAGCGAGTGAGCCAGGGGAGCCCTGCCGGGGTTGGAGAAAGCAGGACGGGATAGCGGAAAGGTAGTCAAGGATGTGGGTTCAGCGTGAATCTGCCCTCAGCCTGATCCCGTGGGGAGCTCAGGTGTGGACGGCACCGCACAACTGGCCCATCTTGAGTCAAGAAGCTGCCCCTCTTCACCTCTGGGTCAGTCCGTAGTGGGCTGTGTGACCTCCCCGGCCTTCCCGGCTGGCGCTCCAGGCAGCTGGCGGTACCCGGGAGGGGAGAAGGAGCCAGCAGGGCGCGGGCGCGGACTTCTGCACCCCAGCGCTTCCCGCTGCTGATTCCCTGCGCTCAGCATCCACCCGCCAGGTGGGGCCCGCTCCTCAGAGGCGAGCACGGCACTCCGCTCTGCATCCTGTGTCCACGTTCAGGAGGCCACCGTCCCCGCACCGGCCTTGCTCCTGTGTATCCAGACCTATCTTGTGGGGCCTACAGAAGGGGGTCACAACAGACGTTAATTATCTCCAAGGCCACGCTGCCCCTGGACAGAAATTCACCCCTCGTTCTCTCTCCTTTTGAAACTGACGTCCAGCCCTGCTGCTCACTCTAATTATACAAAGGGTTTACGTGACAACATAAAAATGTCCCAAAGAACACAGTGCCAGCACTGTGAAAAGTGTCCCAGTTTGGACTGTATGATTCATGTTACTAACTTCCCAGGGAAAATAAAAAACTTCAGAAGGAAACCCCTCCGCCCCCTTTTAAAGTTCTAATCGATCAGCATTGCACAGGTCAGCCTTCCTCCCGAGGGTCGGTCTCAGGTAACTGAGGACACTCTCGGTTTCGTCTTCAGCAGTTGTGACCTAAGTGAGCTCTCCCTGCAGGGCTGGTCGTCCCTTCAGCACGTCCAGACCCGACTCCAGCCCCGGCCTCTCCTGGGCCTCCTACCCTTGTGGTAGTCGGGGGGGTTGGTCGAACACTTGAGCAAACAGACGTACGCCCAGCCTCTGCCGAGTTATCCTGCACAAACATACCCAAAGCCGCTGTCACATGGCTCTATTTAGCTGCAGGATGCGGCAGGAGCCCTGTGGGGTCAGGAGAGGAGGCAGCCAGGAAAACAGTCTTGGTTTCAGCCTCCGTAAGGCGCTAGACTGGACTCATACTTCATTAACCAGAACTCAGATTTATTCAGAAGAAATCAGCCACCAGCAGTCCGAGTGTGGCCGCAGGCTCCCCCATTCTAGAGGAATGTCGACCCCTTCCCTCTGGAGAACGGGTTCTCCGGGACTCCTTTTCCAGTACAAAATTTAGAAGTTTGCAAAGTAGCACGCCAGCCTCCAGTTCTTCTGAGAATCCTTTCTTCCCTTTAGGGTTTGCCTTTTAATTTCCATTTTCCTTCCCAGCTTTGTGTCCCTTACACCCCAGTATGAACCCAGCCCTCCATTCCATCTTGGGCTCCAGGTTGGCCCCATCGTGATGTACCACATCCCAGCTCACCGTTGTGAACGTGAATTCAGTGACCTGCAGACCCCGCACTCCTTCAGAGGCTCTGCGATTACGCCTGACTTCTGAAATCTTTCTGAAGTTAGAGACTTCTGACTCGTGATGACGAATGAAGTTCAAAATGCTGTTTTACCTGGGACAGCTAAAGAAGTTACTTGAAATTCATACTAGATTGTGAATGACTGATAGTGACAGCTGTTACCCATCTGGGGAATACAGGAGGGTCGGCCCCCTTTGTCTTCTACAGTACCCATAGGACCTGTTGGTGTAGAGGGCAGTGTGGAGGAGGGACCACCAGGAGAAGAGAAGGGACCAGTGCAGGGAGCCTGGGGACCAGAAAGGCTGATGTTAGCTAGACTCAGGACCGGCAGTCTGTGCAGTCGCTGGCTCAGCGGAGTCTTCCCGTGGCTCCCGGCGTGGGGTGTGGACCGGGCTGCTTGCATCCTGTGCATGGTGTGGCCATGTCACGTGGCACAGCTTGCACTGTGAAGGCTGCGCACTGCCTGGAGGAGCACAGGGTATACAGAGTGTGGGCATGTGTGTATGTCTGTATTTATTTATTTTTCTTTGACAGGGACCCTCTCCACTACTGTCTCCAGGGGACGTAAATCTCTTGGTTAAGGTAAAATCATAAAATAAATGTGCATGCGTTGTGAAACTGGTCTTGAGGGGATTGGGGATTTCAGTAACGTGCTCTTTTTTGTGTCTGAACCACTGTGTTAAGAATATTAACAGTATTAGCAACACTGGCTGAGACCTCACCGTGTGTCAGCGATGGGCTAAATGCACTGTCCAGGGCAGCAGCCACTGGCCACGTGTGTCAATTTAAATTTAAGATAACTAAAATTAAGTGCAATGAACAGTTCCAGTCCTCGGTCGCACTAGTCGCATTCCAAGTACTTAATCACCACACGTGGCTAGTGGCTGTTTCACAGGACAGTGCAGATACGGAGGATTTCTGTCGTCGCAGAAGGTCCTCTGGGCAGGGCTGTGCTAAACACTCCGTGGGTGTCTCTTACTTACTGTCCACAGTTACTCTCTGATATTGGTACTGTTTCTGTTTTTGCTTTACTTGGTGGAAACCTGAGACACCGTGAGGGTCAGTGACTTTCTGGGAGTGGAATCCACGCCCCACGGCTTCCAGTGGCTGGCCTGGCCCCCCGCAGGACTGCCTCCTCGAGCTCTCAGAGAGGGGCGTGGGCAGGGTCAGCCAGGTCGGGCGGGGGCCTCTGGCATGAGGTCCGGAGTGCAGGCGCGGGGGGCTGGAGCCCGTGGCCGGGGTGAGTTCAGACCTGAGTGCAGACTCAGCTCATTTTCAGGACCACGTGCACTTTGCACGAGCAGCAGACGCCCTGAGCTGAGCGTGACTCTGCTGAGACAGGGCGGAGAAAGCTGGGTGCCCAGGACCCTGGCCGAGGACCTCTGATCTTTAATAGAGGAGACCCGGGAGAGGCTGTGAGCCTGACAGAGACAGGAGAAGACTCGTGTTCCAGGAGGAGCAGTCCTGCTGCCGCGGGTGTGGAGGACCCTTTTGCTGCCTCTGTTTCCAGCCTTTGTCTTCACTCTGGGTGAAGCTTGGCACTGGATTTTGTGTGATCAGCCCCTTCCTCACTTCCTGTATTCTGAAGACCACTTGGGTGGTGTCAGAAAACACCTGGTTCTTGCATGAAAACGGGAGGAGAAGGAAAGGGAGAAGAAAAGCTCCTCAGAAGCCGGGACGTGTGATCCTCTGCACGTCGAGCTGCCCTGAGGCAAAGTCATACTTTGTGTTCAAGATGCGCAGCAGTGGGGCGGTCTTTCCTGATTGTTCTTGACAAGAGGGAGGTTTGGTTTTTCTTTCACAACCAGGACGTGGCAAGAAATCATTGTCTATTGATTTAAGCCTTATTTATTACAGGCTTTTATAGCCTTGATGATTTTTTCTTAATTTCCGCCCCATTGAAAGGCACTGGGTTTGCATCAGCCCCTTTGCCCCCACCGAAGGATTTCAACTCAGGGTGTCCCAGTCTTCAGGGCAGTGATGACAGCAGTGAGTCCTGCATGGGTTAAGACCGTTCTTCATGGCTGCAGCCCTGAGAAGGGCACTTAGTCGAATCAATACTTCTTACCTGCTGAAGGATGCAGCTGTGTTCATCAGAGCAGCCAGGAACCACGGAGGTCACGTGAGCGCCTACGTTCAGGGCAGCGCCTGGAATTCCTTGGTCCTGTGGAGTGTGCTTTGCCTGGAAACCCTGTAGACGGGCGCCTGGGCCATGTGGGTTTGCTCAGGTCTGCCATAGCTCCCTGTTGTGTAATCACCTGTTGCCACGTTGATGATGTGGGTTAAAGCTGATGGTCTGGTCCAGGTGGCTGTGGACAGGCCCCTCCCTTGCTGAGGATGCATCCTTTACTACAGAACACTTACCCCATTCTGAGAGTTGGAAAACTGCCTGGGTAGGAAGTTCAGCTTTAAGGAACTTGCGTAGCTGGAGCTGTGCCCAGGGAGGCCGTCCTCAGGGCTTCCCTGTGAGATGGTTCCCCAGGATAAGCATTATTGCATCCAGTGGCCGCAGACACCCCAGTGGGCTGGCGCTGTTACTAGCCGCATTTGACAGAGCAGGAGGCTGGGCACAGGTGGGCCAGTCGCCTGTTGAAGGTAACAGAGCTGGACGGTGGCAGAGCCGAGTCTCAAACCCAGTGAGACCAACTCCGAACCGTTGTGCTTATCCCCTCTGCCATCCACCTTCACCTCTGCCTGAGTCTGAGCTTCCTGACAGCTCCCTGATGACGTGCAGGCAGTAGCGAGTTCCTTGTCTGTTACCCAGAGGTTTGAAATGCAGGCTCCACAGCCCTTCAGCAGGAGTGTGCAGTGAGGGGGCAGGAGTCCAGCAGGGGCTTGGGTCAGGTGATTGGGAGGTGATTTCTGCACCTGAGAAGCAGCGGTGGTTTTTTCCCATGTGGCAGAGACTGCAGTTCCTCCTGTTATAAGCATTTTAGGAGCGCTTGCTTGGTGTGCCATGCCTCACCACACAGAACAACATGGCCGGCTGGGTTTGCTGAGGGCGCCGCAGGCGAAGGGCAGGGGGTGGGGGTGAGAGGGGTTGCGTCTGCAGATTACGCATAGGGGACCTGGCAACGTGCTAGACGCGCCACAGGCCTGCTCCGTTTAAACTCCACGACTGTACCCTAAGGTCGGAGAATGAGCCTTGTCAGCTGGTGTAGAAATAGACTAGTGGGGACTAAGTGGCCTGTCTGGGATGACCCGGTGACATGGAAGAGGTGGGGATCAGTGCTGAGGAGCAAGGGCATCTGATGTGCAGGTGCGACAAGGGGACAGACTCGGAGGGAAACGGCGGCTGAACCCACAGTGACTCACGGGGTGGCAGACACTCGTGCTCCCACCGGGGGCCCAGCTCGGCAGCAGGCAGGCAGCCCTCGTTACTCATTCTCTGACCTCACACGTGAGGAGGCTGCGGCTGGGAGAGGTGAAGCCGTGGGCCTGAGTGGCAGAGGCTTCCGTGTGGTCTGAGCAAGCCCGCCTGGTTGGAAGTAGAGCCCGGTCTAGTGATGGAGAGTGGGGTTTTCCCCCTACACCCCCCTCTGGGGCTCTTGTGGCTGGACTAATGAGAAAGGTGACACAGGACAGATTAGTGGGAGGAAAAGCAACAGGTTTTAATTCATGCACGTGGAGTTATCTTAGAAATGGGACCTAAGAAGTGGCCAAAACTGGCAGCTTTTATACTTTTTGGACAAAGAAACAGTGTGTGTGTGTGAGGAACTGGCAGGGAAAAGAAGCTTAGGCTTCGGGCGATTCATCAGTGAAGAACCTGAGCGGAGCTTGGGCTCGGGGCCGTGAATTAAAATCAGGAGGTTTGTTTACACCGGCTTCTCGGCCCTGGATGCCCTGTCTCTGGCAGTGAAGGTGTCCCACCTCCAAATGCGGGCAGTGCGCGTTTCACGTGAGAGATTTATCTCCTGCTCTCAGGGTGACAGAGAGAAGGGTCACTGTCCCGCCTGCATTGGCCATTTCTTGAGTCACTTTAATTCAAAATAATCAATATGCCATTGAGACATATTTGAGGGCAGCCTGCCCTGGGCCCCAATACTAGTCTCAAGACATTCCAGGCAGCCCAGGGTCAAGAGGAACTGGGGACCCCAGGAGCACAGGCGCCCAATTGAGGGTGGGTAGGACAGCAGTGGGGGGCTGGCCTTGCCCTGTGCTCGCTGGGTTCCAGGGCCGGGTCAGTATGCTAAGTCCAGCCCCCTCGCTGGTGAGTCTGTGGGCTGCGGTGGGGCTGCACTGGTCTTCAGTGAACAATCCTGCACAGAAATTGGGACTAAGACACAGTCAGCCTGAGAGTTATCCACGACGGAAGCTGAAAAGAGAGAGTCGAAACCAGTGAGATGAGTTACTCAGATATGCCGCTTTGTGCTCTGGACCTCACTGCAGAGGGTGGTTCCCCATCACTCTGTGTCCCGCACATCCAACAAAATCTCAGTGGCCCAAGCTCCCGCAGCCACCAGGCTAGCTCCGCTCCCGTGCAGCCTCTGTCCACTCTGCTGCATGTCGTGGATGTGTCTCATTTTGAAGAACTATAAGAGAAGGTCTGGGAATACGTGAGTTCCTCCCACGTCTGCCATGCCTCCAAACAAAAGGCAGCAGCGAAAACATTTGATGCTCCTCACCCTTCCCCTAAAAATTCAGCCAGCTTCTGGAACCACCTGCTAAGGAAGATGGCCCTGGATGCCAGCAGGTCACTGGTCGGTCAGTCGGGTCGGCTGGCTCACCCACTGACGGAACTCATGCTCTGCAGTAGGTTATTTGCTCTGAATTGGATGCATAAAGACTCTACCGCTGTTCTCGGAGAGTCACACTTTCCTTTTCTTGGTGGGGAGGGCATGGAGCTATAAACAGACCACATCAACAGTGGGTCACGTGCTGCCACAGCGGGAATTCCTGGGTCCGTGGAAGCAGGAACACACCCCCAGTTCTTGGGGGACGTCCTGGAGGAGGACACAGCTGAAGAGTCTGCAGAGACTGAGCAGGAGTGAGCTTGTCAAAGGAAGGTAGACTGTTCAAAGTTGCTTTTTTGATGGAAAAAGCCCGTCCATCCTGCATTAGACACCAAGATGAATGCCAGGTCGCCTGAAAGCTCACCTCACTGAATGTGAACACGTGCACCTTGTCCTACAGGACACTCTGCAGGTGGCTCCAGGGCAGCATCCCAGAGGCCCTTGTCAGTGTGTGTGTTGCGTGTCCGTGGGTGCCGCGGGACCAAGAGCCCTCAGGATGCGTGCTCCTGTGGTCTCAGAGCGGAGAGGCACGGTGCCTGACAGAGTGGTTGCTTTGCAAGTAAATGCTCTTTCATTGAGGGAGCGGCTGAGTGAACACATGAATGAATAGAAATAGCCAAGTGCACTGGGAAGGAGCTGACACCTTCATCAAAAGGAGAGAGTGGGGGAGGAAGAGAGGGAGGGTTAGCGAGAAGGCTGTGGAGGGAGCGACCCAAGCCCCTGGGGGGTGAGACGGGCAGGGGTGTGGTCAAGCCCGTGAGTTTTATTTGGTGTTTGCTGTGCTCCAAGCTGTAAGATCTGGGGATGACACAGACAAGTTAGAAAACCTGTTCCCTGGGCTGAGGGCTTTACATTCACTCTGGGGACTTGCCTGCCTCAAAGAAGGAGAGCAAAGCTCCTTTCCAGGGAACATTTGTTAAATGCCCACTGTGGGCAGAGAGGAATGCCAGGCCTGGGGAGGTTCGCATGTGCCAGGCAGCAGAGTCCTGAGGGCGGGCACCTGTTGCTTTCTTTGTCTTGCTGCTTTGTTCAGGAACCACTTGGGCAAACCCATGAGACCGAGGACGCTCTCTAGCCTTAGGGACAGGGCGTGCTATTGTAAACAATGCTGAGTGTTTGCATTAAACCTGTACTGTGAGTATCTCCAGATGTTCACAGATACTGGTACATGCACTTTTGACATCTTTGTCTTGGGCTGTGTTTCAGCCGTTTGGCCAGAAGCAGGGAGAAATGGGGTAGTAATCCAGATATATCAGCACTGAAATCTAATTTAGGACTAAGAGAAAAATGCAAAGCTTGACACAAGCTATTTGGGTAATGACTCAACCCACCTGCTTGCTCTTTCCTCATTTGCTGGCTTCCTCCTGTCTGGAGAGGAGGAGCTCTGGGCCACCTTTTGTTTTGCCAGTAACTGTATCATGTGTTTGCTCTTTCTTTCAGGACATGTGCAATGACTGCCCCCCTGGCCCCCCGGGCCTCCCTGGTCTGCCAGGTTTTAAAGGGGACAAAGGTCTCCCAGGAAAGCCAGGGAGAGAAGGCGCAGAAGGGAAGAAGGTAAGGAGAAAATAGGAAACAGTTTTTACCATTGCATCATCTTGGAGACCCCAGAGTTGCCTCGCTGGTACACGGGAGGGTTCTACTCAGGGGTGTGGCTGTGGGGGCAGAGGTCACTGGGGTCGTCCTGGGGACTGGCTAGCATGCCAGCTAGCACGGTAGCGGTGGGTCATGCCCATGAACACATAGCCGTGCTCCTGTCGCCACCACTCGTCTGCCCCCTTAGCTCACACACGCTGGGGGTGGGAAGGGGACAGGGAAATCTCAGTGGGAAATCAGTGACTAGATGTGTAAGGGGGTGGCTTGCTGTAACTCTGGGTGTGGGCTCCAAACACGCATCCTTTTTTTCTTGTGGAAGTGTAGTTGATTTACAATGTTAGTTTCAGGTGTACAGCAAAGCGATTCAGTTATACATATACATACATATATTTTCAGATCCCTTTCCATTATAACTTATTACAAGAAATTAACTCTACTTCGCTGTGCTGTACAGTAGGTCCTTGTTGTTTATCTATGTTATATGTGGTGTGTATCTGTTAATCCCAAACTCCTAATTTATCCCCCGCCCCACTTTCCCCCTTGGTAACCATAGTTTGTTTTCTATGTCTGAGTCTGTTCTGGTCCAGACACTCATTCTTGTTGTTGATGCTACAGGGAGATGCTGGTCCCAGAGGCCTCCCAGGGCCCCCAGGAATAGCTGGACCACAGGTCAGTGAGCCTTCATAAAACTGTGTACAATTATTCTGCTCATCTCACTGGGTAACCTGAGTTTGAGGACGAGTGACGTCCAGTGTAGAGGAATGATGGTTCTAAAATCAGAAAACTCACTCACTATTGTTAAAAGCAAGGAAGCAAACAGAAATACTGTGGTGTGACAGCCACCTGTCGGGTATCCAGGTGGAGAACCACCAGGTCACCCAGGCCCTGGCTGGCGGGTCACCACATCTAGCGTTTGCTGTTGTCCGATAGACTTTGAAGTTTCGTAGGGTCTTGACAGACCCGACACTACTGCTTCACAAACTGCAGGCATCAGGTCTCAGTGTTGCTGGAACGAGAGACTGCCCTGGTGCAGCGTTAGGTTAAGAGACTGCACAAAGCATAGCTGCCTCGGGGCTATTAACTGAGGGGCTATTAACTGAGTCTTACCCTCCCTTTCTGGGGTCATAGGTGGTGGCTGAACTCCTCGCTGAAGGACTCTGCAGGTGGGGAATTTCAACTGAGCCTTAAGTATGCAGTCTTCGCTGTCAGCTTACCGGCTGCTGGGTGCTGCCCCTGCCAGGGAATGGCCTTTATTCAGGGAAACAAAAGCAAATCAATTAAACAGATAAGGAGTTCCCTCCACTAAGTAGGAGTTATTTTCTCTATCAGCCCAGCCCCGCTTGAAGTGCTGATGTCTTGGGACAATGGCTCTGCCTTTGTTCTTCTATAATTCCCTTCAAGGGAGATTTGTTCCTTTACATAATCAAGAGAAAGCCAAAGAAAGCTTCCATCCAGAGAAAGAACACAAATTAATGCTGTATCTGAGAGACAGGGGTTTGCTTCTCCACTTGGGAGTCCATGGCGACCTTGAGAAGTTCTCAGGGTTCACTTGCAGAATGAACTCCCAGGGAGCTGCAGCCAGTAGGTGAGATACCTGGTGTGCTAAGAGCTAAGGCCAGTTTACCTGCTTTAAGTACTACCTCCTGCAAAGGTCAGCATCATCCTGGGAGGCAGAGATACTGTTCCACCTTACAGACTAGGAAACTAGAGTTTGGCAAGATTAAGTGCTAGAATTATGAAACTAGTGGGTGGTATAGCCAAGGTGATCCCTACTATGCCCCACGGTAGTAGCCTGCTGTTAGACCCCAGCAACGCTACCTCCAGCGCCAGCACCAAGGACAGCTCCCAAGGAGGGCAAAGCCAGCTGCCTCTGGTAATGATCCTGTAACAGCTTCCCCTTACGACCGCCTGTTGTTGGGAGAATGAGTTGCAGAGGACTCACCGGCTTGCCTTGGTTCTTGGCTTCAAGCTCAAACCTGTCTCTGTGCTCTTGGTTCATCCGAAGCCAATCTCCAGGAAACAGAACAGAGGACTGTTTCGTTTCCTTTCTGCTGAATTTCACTTATCGCTGCCAGACCTGGGGGCACGAAGATGAATTTGTAAATTGAAAATGCTACTCATAATGGAGCATCTATGGTCACTGTTAATGTCCTTTTATAACCAAAGGTCCTGGGTGGCCACTGGTCACATGCATCATCAGGAAGGTTTGATTTGCTTGTTTGCAGCTTGTGATCCAGCATCTGGGAAACCAGCTTCCCTAAGATTTGTCTTGCAGATTTACAGCTGTTCCCTCTGGCTGCCGGGTCTGGGGAGGTCACTGACATCATCAACTGCAGAGCTCCGATCTAGAGCTTTCAGACCGCATAGACACTGACTCTACGGGTTAGGGTCTGAGGTAGTGGCTGCTGTTTGATTATGAGCCATGTAGAGGAAGAAGAAGCAAGATGGTAATCAGAACATGATTTTCTGGACACATAATTTTCTGCAGAGTCAGATGTTAAAGCCTCTTCCAGTTTGACTATTCTGTCCTTCACGAAAAACATGGTTTTCTTCTCACCCACATGTGCACCAGTCATGTAACGGGAGCTGTAGGACTGGAGACACTAAATGAGCAGAAGCCCCCGCTTGGAGCCCACGAGTCTGGGAGGCAGAGTCATACCTCCTCTGCCAGAAAAGGTCCTGGAATCCCATTCTGCCCAGAAGGCAGCCCAAAGCCATTTAGTCCATGCTGTCTTCAGGAGAGAAGTCTTTTCACCTACAGCTGCCTTGATCCTGGAAGGTTCTCACCAAGCATGGCCTTGAACAGCTCCCTTCCAAGTCAGGAGGTATAGAGTTAGGTCAGATATGGGCCATGCCTTTTAGGGCCTGATGTGCTGGAGAAGAAAGACCTACAAGGTCACCTGGTAAGCGGGGTGGCCGTCTGCTTTAGTGAATTAGCTTTGTACAAAACAAAACAAACTTCTGACGTCTTTTTAACTGGAGGTAGTTTGTAGCTTGGAACAAGGGGCCCTGTAGTTAGGCTCCTCCCTTCCTGCAGAACCTGGGAGATGGGGTTTCATTTTCCTTGATGATTACATTTCAAAACAATGTTCCCAGGTCCTTGAGAAAGACTTTCCTGGGACCTAGAGCTGGCAAAAGGCTTACTTAGCTTTGGAAAAGGCTTACATACATTTCAAAGCGACAGAGAAAGAACTCACAGTGACGAGTTTTCTAAAGTAAATGCTCTAATAAAAGGGGTGTGGTGGGAGTTCCTTCCCTGATTTTCAACAGGAAAAACAAAACCCTAACAGTCGATCCTCAGTAAACATCTGCTGAAGAGAACCGAGATAGCCAAGTAGCAAACTAGTAATGACCCTGGGATGTGGGCTCCAGGGGGGCAGGTTGTTTTTTTTGTTTCTAATCTGTCTTTGATGGCTGTATTCTCTGTGCATAGAATGGTTCCCAGAGCATGATCAATCAGACTCTAAATCCGGCGATCTGCACATCATAAAACCAGTGGGACAAGGCGTCACAACCTAGGAAAATAACCAGGAAAGTAACCTGGTCAGAGCAGGCAGTTTGGATACTGACAGATCTGGATTTGATGCCACATCTTGTTTTTTATTAGCTCTGTGACCTCAGACGAATGACTTAACCTCTCTGGTCTTCAGGTTTCTTACTAATACACTCTGATAATAACCTCTACGTCAAGCAGTCGTCTTGGCTAAATGAGATAACATAGACTAGTAAATGTTGTTTTGCACCAGCTCGGGATATAAACAAAGAAAAACATGGAATGAGATCTCATGCGAAAGCCCTGGCAGAGTGCCCGGCAGAGTAGGGGCTCTGTAAATGTCAGCCCTCTTTTCTGGAAGGAATTGAGTCAGGCTTGGGGGTGGCCGTGTTTGTGCTGATTCCCAGCTGCGGTGGAGGAGACAAGGACAACTGTGGCCAGCCTTGAGCTGCTGACATTTTAGTTGTTAGATGAGGGTTGAAACCACTCTAAGGCCAAACTGAGGGCTGGAAATTGAAAGAAAACCATTTACTTTTAAGGCAATTGTCCTTAATGTCAGAGAACCAGTGTGCTGTTCTATGTCACTGCTTTTCGTTGAAATTACAAAGTGGCTGCAGACAGTGTGCTGGCTTTATCGACTTAAAAACAGTAGAAATAATTACATGCAAACATGTTGGAATAAATGCTCTTCCCCTCTGAACCTACTGCTTTTCTCCTCTAAACAACAGCACTTGGCGCTCTGCAGGCACGAGATCACCTAACCATCACGGTACACTGCAGGGGGGCAGCCAGCGTGCTGTTCGGTAGTCACTGTCCCCATGAACTGCTGATGTGGTACCGCAGTCGGGATGGGAAGAGGGTGGGTGTGATGTTTCAGTGAGAGAACTGTCGGGTTCTGGAGCTGGAAGGACCTTCATAGATTGACATACACCCCTATCCTTCATTTACCGGATGAACAGAGTGAAGAAAGAGCATAATCTTCTGCAAGCCGCAAAGACAAGGGATGCCGGGCCTGGCACCAGAGCCAAGGCGGCTAACCCCCAGTGACTTCTTCTACTGCGTAGTGCATTCTTTTAAAGGAACTGGGATGTTTTTGTTTAATAGCATTTTACTGAAATACACTTGTTAGCATGGGAAACATGGGGCCAAATAGGTGACCATTAAGATAGATTGGAACCTTTGAATATTAC